ACCTTTTTTTCTAATGAAGTTGATGTTTAAGAGCTTATCAACTTCATCCTTGAGCGCTATAGATCGTTCAGCATCCATAGACCTTCTTTTGTACCTTATCGGGTGAGCCTCTGAATTGATGTGCAATCTATGGCACATTACTTCGAGGCTAATCCTCACCATTTTCGTATGTACCCAGAATAACACGTCAAGGTTCTTCTTCATGAACCCTACTAGACTGTCTGCTAACTCGTTGCTTAGACTCCTCCCAATTCTTAAAACACAAGTTAGGTCTTCCTCGCTAACAAACACTTCTCGCATCTTTTCTGTAGGCCCTGCTGTGGGCTCTTCTTTGTGAATGCAATGATCTATGGTGTCTTCCAATGGTTCGACTTTAGCTCGGACTCAGCGATAATCATGGTCCTCGTGAGTGCCCATTTATGTGTTGCATGACTGGTTCGGTTGTAGCACCCCCTTAACTCTTTTTTGCAACTCCATACAAACTTTGATTGCGTCTAGGGTTGGGAACTTTATAGCCTAACATTGCACTGAAGTAACTGCGCTTAGGTTGTCTAGGAGCGGCCTTCCCAAGATAACGTTGTAGGTGGTTGGACAATCGACCACTGAGAATTTTGTCATTACTGTCCTCATATAAGTTTTCTCCCCGACAGTCATGGGTAGCTTGATCGTCCCCTTGAGGACTAGATTGTCCTCAGTGAATTTGTACAGCGGCAATGGGCATGGTCTTTAATCTCGCTCGATGAACCTCATTTCTCTGAAAGCCCTCAAGAAGATGATGTTCGCTGCACTAACATTGTCTATCATTACCTGGAGGACTTGAGCATTGTAAATTCTCTCCATGATTATAATCATGTCATAGTTGTGGCAAGGCTGCTTTGGTGTATTCTTCCTTAGTGAAGCCTATCACTTCACTTTTTGCTTTAGGCTGCTTTGGCGACTTTACTTCACAATTCATTACTTGGAGAACCGAGTCTGCCCTAGCTTCTCATGCATATTAATCGTGAGAGTGCCTAGAACTTCTTGCTATGTCATGTCCCTGTAAATCATATCCACTAGTACATCATTGTTGTCCTTCTGGACTTGTTAGGTTTGCCTGTTCTGCTCGCTTGGGTTGTTGTGAGCTTGATTCTCTTTCACGAATTCTTTCAAGTGTCGTTTTCTAATCAAGTCTTCAATGGCTTCTTTTAGAAGCCGACACCATGGTTTTAAAACTCGGTCAGGCCCGATTGATTGAACCGGTGGCTAGACCGGGTCGGTTCATATAAAAAAATTGTAATCAGCAATTGACCTACTTCAGACAGCAGTTGGACCAATTTTTTTGTGACAAACCACTGATCCAACCGATATAACCTAGGCTACAATAAAAAGGAAATAAATTAAATAATGAAAATAATAAAATTAAAACTTTTTCACTTTTTAGCTTTTCTCCCTCCCTTCATTTCATTAGACAAAACCCAACACCAGTAGAAAAGAAAAATAAAAAGACCATTATCAAAGAACGAAATCAGCATCTTCAATCTTAGGGTTCTTTGATTCTGATTTCATTCATCAAAATCTTCATCCAATCTTCAATATTTAGGCCTTGGATGACTTTTGAATCTTTGATCTTCCAACTTCAACTTTGATAGCTTCTTCTTCTTTGATCTTTGGTAGCTCCCACAAGGTTTATGTATTTCATTGTTGTTAACTTGTTATTGTTCTTGTTCTTTGTTTGCTGTGAGATTGTTTGAGATAGTCATGGAGATTTTTGGTGTTAAAGAAGTGGGTTTGAAACTTGATATTGAAAAGGTGATTGTTTGGTGTGAGATTGGTTGTGTTTGAGAATTGAAGTCTGCAAAAATGGCTGGTTTGATTAGTTGTATGCAGTGTGCAAAAACGGATTGCAGTGTGCATTTTCACACTATTGTGTGCAAAAATGAGTGTAAAAAATAGGTGTGCAAATGCACATTGCAATGTGTGAAATCACACATTGCAATATGCATTTTCACACTGTAGTGTGCAAAAATGGGTGTGCAAATGCATATTGCAGTGTGCGAAATCGGTGGCGATCTCTTCGGCCCAACACTCATTAGTGTTTTGCCTAATATCTCGGTGGTATTTACAGTACTTTTGGCAATCTCTTCTGCCCAGTGCCTTCTCATTCTCTAGCATGGATAATTTTTTAGCCTCGCGAGAGACTTCATAGATGTGTGCCATATCTTTTATCAGAGAGGTGTATTTTGCATATTGCGGGGAAAGGTTGTCTTTCCCCGTAGAACTCCATTCTCTGTCTTTTTGGAAACCTTTTTTGGTCCTTATCATTTCGATCTTGGCCCATTCTTTTGTCTATTGGGCAATTTTGTCGCCTTTCAGGGGCTCTTCTTGGTAAGCCACCAGCTAAAGCTACCAGCGAGCTTTCAACTTGTTGATGTTTGGTGACCATTTGGTAAAACTTGGCTAGGCTCATATGATCTTCGTTTTGGATCTCTTTCCACAATTTTGTTTGTGGCCTTATACCTACTATAAGCAAAGTTTGGATTGACTCTTTAGGTGCATCCGTTGCATTTGACTGCTTGTTTTGGAACCTCGTTAAATACGAAATTAGAGTTTTGTCTCTTTCCTTACGAATGTTACTTAGATAGCTGAGTGGCATTAGGAACTGTCTTCTTGCTTGGAATTGTTGCAAATATAGCAAGGAGAATTGTTGCAAGATTGTATTGAGTTCGCTTTGAGTCGTTTATACCACCTCTTGGCATCTCTTACCAAAGTGATTGGAAAACATCGGTACTTTGCCAAGTCGAAGACCTGATGCAGTTCCATCAGGTCATTGAAGGAATCAATGTGGGCTCTAGGATCTCATTTCTCATTGAACTTGTTCTCGAGCACCCTAAATCCTTGGGAGAGTGGTGCTTGACAGACTTTCTTCTAGAACAGAGAGCTTACGATTTCTTCCTCCCAAATTATTCTGGGGGGCTCTCAGATCGTTGAGCATTCTCTATACTCAATCTAAGTCCTCATTGTTGGGAGTATTCTGGCTGTGAGCTTTGCATAGACTAACCTCGAGCAGATGAGTCCGAAGATCAGTTGCTTACCAGACTACTCTATTATGCGCGCTAGTGTGCGAGGTAGAGTCATGATGGTTAGGATGTTAGATGCTATAATGCTCCTTGACACGTTGCTCACAACGTTGCTTAAAATCAAAAGGTTGTTGTTGCCAGATTGGCGTGCACGGCTAGTCTCACGAGCTTGCCTTTGGAATGGGTTTAAACCGTCATGCTGGCATTATACATTTTGTCAATTAGGGCGAGCATCCCTTTGACGACCCTTGTCTTCATTTTTCCTTATGGACTGCTTGCCTGGTCACCTTCTGAGGTTAACTTGCCCGCGAGACTCACACTCGTGAGCTAAAGGCGCCTTGCGATGTCGGGGGTGATGGTCGCTCCTTGGTTCCAATGAACCAGATTGGTCACCAGCAAAGTTATTCTGACCTATTGGAGTAACCTTTGTGAAGCATGGCTGATCGAGGTCTTGGTTGGCTGGCTGCTCGTTTTCTTAACTCAGCTACGTTTTGTTTTACTACCTATGCAACCATCGTCCTTATCATCTCAATCAACTGGCCATTCTCGGGATTAGAAGGCCCTGCTCCCTGCTGATTTGTGACCTGTTGCATTGGTGTTACCGGTGGTAGACTTGGAGCAGCAGTCTGATGCATCTCCTGGTGGGCGACTTCCACATTGTCGTGGTTCTTGTTGGTTGTTTTTTATCTGGTATGTGCCATTGGAAATTTCAAGTGATCGATTGCTCATTGAAATTGCTTGTTTCTTGCCAAAAATATGGAAAGTAGGCGGAGGCCTCCTTTTATTGCCAAAATGTTGATAGGAAAATTCATACCGACCAGAGTGATCCGATTGACCTTGACAAAATCAGAACTGATGTGTGCTTGATTTAATAAAAATTAGCAATGTAATGAATAAAAATGCGTTATAATGCGGAAGACATAAAACAGTTTTTAAAGTGGTTCGACAAGTTATAACTTGAACCTACGTCCACTGTTCTTTTATTGTTGTGAGAGCTTGCAATGCACATCAATTTTAAAGTAAAAATTGCTAACCCCTTTCTCATAATTGGAAGGGCTATTTATACAAGTTTGTAATAAAGGAAAGAGAGGAATTTTTGGGATTGCAATCACTTTCAAATTGCAACTCCAAGATTCCCATGATTGTGCACTAAGATCACACAATCATTACTGTTGATTTGATCTCTTCTGAAATATCTGAGATTTGAGCTTATCTTTGGTTTGTTGAACAATTGCTAGAGTTGGTTGAGACTAGCTTATGTTGGGTCGAGCTGTATCTCGACGAGCTTATGCTAGGTCGGAAAAATATTGAGTCGAACCATATCCTTGTGGGCTTCTGACTTTTTCGAGCTTAATGGAAAAGTCACACACAACATATATGAATGAGTCAAGTATTTCATTGATAGTCCAACAAATGCTAAGTGGTTTTATAAAGGTCAATTTATCATTCCTATATAGTAAGAGTGAGGTTACACATACAATATTTGTCTACAAAATCTATCTACAATTTATCTAACGTTACTCTTATGTTATGGTGTTATTTAATCTCATTTTTTGGGTATATATTAAGTTAAATTTTATATTATTTTTTATACAAATTTTGTATGTTGGGCCGGCTATATGAGCTGGGCTGAGTTTTCGGTACAACTATGCATTAAGGCCGGATTCTTTTACCATTTCTACTCATCACTATACTTAATAATAAATCCTAACAATAATTTTTAATTTTTGGGAAAAAAAAATATTGTTCCCTCGTTATAAATTATATACTCATATTAAATTTTATTTATACATTTCTCTTAAAATATCAGTTGTATTTAGAACATAATTTTATTAATTATATTAGGATAACACTTTTTTTTCGTTTATTTTGTCTGTTAGTAAGGGTTTAAGGCTTTAACCAAGCCGCGGTTTTTGTTTCCTCACAATACCTTGACGTCATAATTATTTTTTATTTTCCTAATATCTATTGTTTTCTTTCTTTCCTTCCGCACTCCGTTTGGCGTCCGACGGTCCGAGAAAATCCTGAGAAACAAAAGAAAATTTCAAATTTCAAATCTACAAACTTCTACAATCAACTAGATCGGCCAAAGAGAGAGTGATGGTGGAGGTGACGATGTGCAGCAGCAGTGGCAGTGGGGAGCTGACGCCAGAGGAAGAGAGGGTTTTGATAAGAGACATTGCAAATTTAGCCGAAGCTTCCAGCAAAGAAGGCGATACATTTTACCTCATCACTCAAAGGCTTTTCCTTCTCTCTCTATCTCTCCCTTTCTTTCATTTTTTGTCTTATCTTATTTTTTATGGTTAATTTCAGTGTTTGTTATGTGAAGAAGAATTTCGTAGTATTTAGTGAACAAAAATAGCTTATTCGTTCAAGCATTTGATGCCTTAGTTTAGCCTTGGCTCCTATAGCTGTAGTCTGCTATATGAATTAGTTTGCTGTCGCTTGAGTTAAATTTCTAGTTTTTCATGAATTTTTATTTTATTTTTTATTTTTTTTGTCATGCAATCTCTAAACCCTAAAGCTTTGAACAGAAGACTATTTGGTTGACTTCGTTCTTATACTTGTTAAGTTACTGCTGAACCAAAAAGTTAAATTGACGGTAGAAAGTGGATATTAGTGTATAAGCTCAAACATATTAGTTTTTGAGCTTAAATCATGTGACTTGGAGAGATAAAAGTGACTTTTTTAGGTCAATAATTTAAAATGTGTAGCATTTTGGAAATATTTGGTTTAATTTGTTTTTCCTTGGTTAACTACAGATGGTGGCAACATTGGATAGACTATGTAAATCAAGATCAGCCAAATAATGCAACTGATGTGTTGTCTTTGTTGGAACATTGCAATTCGGCTGGTTCAAGCACATTAAAGAGGCCTTCTGGTATAGATAATTCTGATTTAATAAATGATGCAGCTTCAGAGGACTCCAGTGCGGGCAACGACATTCATGACACTCTACTGGAAGGTCGAGATTATGTATTGCTTCCACAAGCAGTTTGGAATCGATTTCATTTGTGGTTAGTTTTTATCATATATGGAAATGGCAATGATTCTTGATTTGAAAATGCCCCACAATTTCCTTATTTTCTTGATCTATTTGGTGTTAAATACTCTTGTATATTTGTGATACTTTGCTGGTGGATTTAACATTCATTTTTTTTTTTTTTTTGTAAATATATGTCAGTACCAGGTTAGGTTGGATGTCACTTAAAATAGCTACTGTCATTCTGAGAAGAACTGTAGTTTTTTATGTTTTTCATGGGTTGTCAAAAGATCTTGTGAAAATATCTTCCTTTTCCAGCAAAAGTGTATAGTAAGAATTTGTTCCTGTGAACTGGATTTTTCATGAGTCCAAGATGCTTGCTGGACGATAATATAAAATTGATCATGTTTTTGAAGTGCAATTATCTTTCTTTACATGTTAGTAGTTGTAAAAGTAAATTTCTTTTGGAGGATTTGATCTTATTTTGAAGCACCAGAAGTTTGCACTCCATTCTATACTTGCTCATTTATTGGACCAATGGCATGATTTTGTACTAGTATTATTCTCTTGTTTTGTGAACTTGAACCAGTAATAACATTTTAGATGTGTATATGTATGTGTTGCTTAGGAGACAATCTTGCATATGCATATAACTCTTATACTATAAAAATGTCTAAACTCTATGTGCACCCTCTTGTTCATGGACAGGTTCAATTAATGGACTTATCCTAAATATTCAAATGCATACAAATACATGCTTGTATCTTAACTCAAGCCCAACTTGCTTGTGTTGCAATAAACAGAACAGGGAAATTAGAACACTAACAAGTTTAGTCAAACGGCTTTGGCAACATGTTGAGTACTCAATTATTGCAAAAGCATGACTTGATAGGAAACAGTAAAACAATAGTATTTGAACTATAACCTATGTAGATATAATCTTAAGTTGAAATCTTTTGCATTACATACGGACAAAAAAGTACATATTTGAGGAACAATACTGATCCAATTGAGTCCACAGCCTCTTTAGAACTTTGGTTAATTTTTTTTCACATATTTGAAGTACATTTTGTCTCAAGTAGAGTGGTTGATTTACTATCTTCTTCATCGGTGTTCAGTTGGAAGTTTAATTTGTTCATGAATTTGAATGAGAGGGAAACAGATGAATTATTTTCAATTCTTTCAGTTTTTGATAATGCTTCTATAAATAGATTGAAAGAGGATGTTAGAGAGTGGAAGCTCGGTCTTTGGGTGGATTTTTCTGGAAATCTTTCTTCAATTGGCTTATTGATGATCTTTCTTATCTTCATTTACTTCTAGCCTCAATGATTGGAAACCTAAAGTCCCTAGTAGGTTCAGCTTTATGTTTGTTCATTGGCTCATGGAAAAATTAACACTTATGATGTCATGACAAGGAGGTGGACTAACACTTGGTTTACCCCTAACTGGTGTTTATCGTGTAAAAAGGATTTTGGAAGTAGTGATTATCTTATTCTTTGTTCTAAATGGCTGAAACTATTGTGTAAACTTTTTAGAGAAGCAGGGATATATTGGGTTGTTCCTGTCTCTTTCATATCTTTATTGGCTGAAATTTATCATAATTTCTGTTGGGATGAAAAAAGTCAACCTTCTGTGGATGTGCTGCATTTTAGGTTTTATGGCTAGAGAGGAATAAAAGAATCTTTGAAGAAGCTATTTAAGATGAGGATGATTTTCTATGAGATAGTTCGATTTTATGCTTCTTTAGTTTCAAAAAAGTTTCAGGATACTTACTTCGTCATTTTTGGAGATTGAAATTCTGTTGTGTCTTTAGTTTATGCTCTTCTGTGTGTTCTCTCTTTTGTTTTGTTCTTTATGGTGGACTACTGGTGTCACATTTTTGTATATTTCTTATCGATATATTCAGTTATGTGTTCTCTTTCAAAGAAGAAAAATTATGAAAAAGAAATGATTGATTTGGTTTGATGATGTTATATTTACTGCTTGGTTTTCAACCTTTCTTTTATTTTATTTATTCTGTATATATCTCATAATATGGTTGGAAGGAATCCATAATTTAATCATTGTGAGGCAGTTCTATTGTCCCATCATTCTTCTAAATAAGTACTAGGGAATCATTGGTTGTCTCTATTTTGTTTAGGTATGGAGGTGGTCCAACATTGGCGAGGAAAGCAATCAGTTCAGGTCTCTCTCAGACGGAGTTGACTGTAGAGGTTTATCCACTGCGTCTTCAACTACTTTTGATGCCAAAAGGGGACCGCTCTTCCATAAGAATCAGCAAGAAGGTATAGTTTACAAGTAGGTTATGATATAGCACTTCAGCTTCAATTTTCATTTCCTGAGTATTTAAAGAATTTGCTTATCTGAGGATTGACCATGTTGACCAGGAAACAATTGGAGAACTCCATCGAAGAGCCTGCTATATTTTTGATCTTAACTCAGAACAAGTAAAAATTCATATATGCCAGCCACTTTTTTGAATTTTGGAGAACTTGTTTTAAACACTTTTTCCTGAGAGTTCCTTTATGTCTGGTCTTTTAGTATTATAATTTTCTCTTTTACAGGTACGCATTTGGGATTACTATGGTCATCGGAAACATGCCTTGATGAATGACATGGACAAAACGCTTGATGATGCCAACATACAGATGGATCAGGATGTGGGTTCCTTCAACAATGATTATATATCATTTTATGAATAATATGCCTGTTATGATGTTGCAAAGCAACCAGTAAAGCATCTGGTTTCAAATTTTTGAATTTGGCCTTTTTCATCCCTAGGTGCATTTTTTTTAATTTAACAAAATATGCATTTCTTTTCAATCAATTACATCACATCTAAAATCAAGGTTCATTAAGTGAATGAAATCTTGTTTTTAAGGTGTAACATAGTCTCTATAAATTTTTAGAGCTATAAAACCATTGAAACCCTTATGTACTAGATTCTTGCCTGACTTACCCTCTTATTTACAAGGTCACAAATATGTTATGTGTTTCCCATTGTAAGGATTCTATCATTACAAACAGATGGTATGTTAAATTATTCATTTTGTATGATAGCTGTATCTCTTAGTTTATATTCTTTTGCCCATTTTTTACATCAAGTACCACTATGATTGACCTTGCTACAGATATGGATCCTAACAAATGATATGTAATTCAGCTCCCCACATGAATCTAGTATATTGTCAAATTATCTTGCTGGCTGCACTATTATTATTGGTTTGACTCATGCATTTTTAGCCTAAAAGTTAATAACATTCTGAACAGTGGTCTGTCTGACAACCAGTGAGAAACCTTTGATCCAAATGGACTAAATAACATAACAAAAGCAAAGAAGATAGGGTTGCTTCAATGTACTTTGATCTTTGAACACTCACAACTATGCCAATACTTTTTCTGTTTCTAGATGCGGAAAGTTTGTATGATGTATTTTACTTTGTGTATGTGTATGTAATTGGTATTAACATATGACCTATACCAAAACTTGTATTATCTTGTATTATGGCTGAAGTTAATTGTTGACTCATTGATCAAATATTGATGTGAAGTCACAGTAATTTGCACAGAAAAAGTGATAAGAAAATAGAAAGAATGACTGTCAACAAATATTGCAGAGTTTACACGATGATATAGATATAGTCTCATCTTGTTGCTGGATTTGGCATGTTTATTTATTTAATTTTCTTTTAATTTGTGTTTTTTCTGATTTAGTGATTATTCCCCGAAGTTATTTCATATTCTAACATAACTTCTTTTTTTTTTTTTTTTTTCCTTTTCTGTAATCGTTTAAAGCAGATTCTGGTGGAGGTCCTCAACAATGTTAATGGTACTGCATTGGTTGGTTGCATGAGTTCTATTCAGGAAAATGGATTTGCAGAGAAGAAAGCTACTTCTGTTCTTGTAGAGCCTTCTAAGTCAAGCTTATCGATTGCAGGAGGTTGGTCTGCGAGCAAAGGTGCTTCCAGAAGCCATGGTACAGAGATATCACAAAGTGCGAACCTGACTTCTGCTAGAGAGTTGGAAAATACATATGGGGTCAGTGGCGTCAGCACAAGGGGAGCTTCTGCTGGTCTTACTGGGTTGCTGAACCTTGGGAATACTTGCTTTATGAATAGTGCAATACAGTGCCTTGTTCATACACCAGAGTTTGCAAGATACTTTCGGGAAGATTATCGTCGGGAGATAAATTGGCAAAACCCATTGGGCATGGTTGTAAGTTTCGAAGACTGTAATATTGAAGCAATAAACCATTATTTTTTATGCATAGTTTCATAACCTTCCAAATCTCTGTGTCAGAGCAAGTATTTGGTAGTTGAAAGACTATTTTCAAACTTATCTTATATCGTGATTTCATTTTCTGCTTAATGCCAAAGTGTCTTGCAGGAGTGGAACATTTAGCATTGCATAATAGTGTTTGAGCGGAGTTTTTTTTCATTAGATTGATATATCTGTGCTGTCATTATTGATGTCATTGTGCTCCTGTCTATTGCTTGTTTTTGCCAACTTCATTTTATTGTTTGACTTGAATCAAATCATTTTTGGTGGTGGGTTGTTTCTTTGAATCTGCTGGTTGTGCTATTAGTCAATTGTGGTTGAAGAATGGCCATTGAAATCACATGTTTCCCAGACAAAGATCTTAGGTGTGAATTTGGCTAGTGGGTAAGCTTAAGGTTAAAAGGATTTAAAAATATTTTACCTTTGGTTTAACGTGTCTGTTCCTGGTCTTCTTTTTTTGTCTGTGTTAGCAAGACCTATTTCATGGTGCAGAAATGAAGTAATAAATGGGGTGACCTAACAAACATGAAGGCAGATTTAGCTTCATACTGTGTTAAGAAATCGTGACTGGGTTAAGCTATTAGATGCAGAAACCCAAGTTTTATAAGTAGCTATATCAAGTACTGGATACTCTACCACTCTCTCTCATGTTTAGACCTCCTAGAAGACTAGCAAATGTAACAGAGAATCACAAACAGGTTTATCCTGATAGCAACCTCCAAAATCAAAAAAAGATCTTGAACATTTAAGTGGCTACATGGAAATGCTTAGCTAACATAAGTAAGCATACCTATCATAAACCAATGTGGATACATTACAGATAATAGAAGTAGAAAGTTACAGCTAATATTGGTGGACATAGACAGTTAAGTTTTTGTATGGTGCTCGATTCTGAACTATTTTGTAGATTTTAGTTTATTTCTTGGTTATAGCATTGGACTATTTCAGTGGACCTTCCTAGACAGCCTTGAGACTTAAAGGTTATTTGGCTTTGATGGTTTCCTGATATGTATAAATCGTTTTGTTGTTGAAATGTATTTTTCAAGCAAATTTTATGCATCCTTTTTAATGTTTCTTTAAATGAGTCTATTGTTTTCATGTTTGATTTGAAGTGGTCCTTATTTAGGGTGAACTAGCTGTAGCATTTGGTGAGTTACTTCGAAAGCTATGGGCACCAGGACGGACACCAGTTGCTCCTCGGCCATTTAAAACAAAGTTGGCTCGTTTTGCACCTCAATTTAGTGGATATAATCAGCATGATTCTCAGGTTTATTACTGAACAGAAAATTCTTGCTGCTTCCTTGGATTCCATACAGTTCATCATCAAAATAGTTTATGATTATTTCAGGAGCTTTTAGCATTTCTGTTAGACGGTCTTCATGAAGATCTGAACCGTGTCAAACACAAACCATATATAAGGTCCAGAGATGCAGATGGTCGACCGGATGAAGAAGTTGCTGATGAATATTGGGCAAATCACATTGCACGCAATGATTCTATAATCGTTGATGTTTGCCAAGTGAGTATTGTATTGATGATATGTTAATATTAAGAGGTTGGATATGGTTGATTGGCATCTTACTTTTTGACAAAAAGATGTCTAACATATTTAATGACCATTGAAAAGTTAAGCAGTATCTTCTCTTTTATTTTAGTGGTTATTGTGCTATGCATAGGACAGTAATGATTACCTGAGTTCTGAGATGTGCCTTTTCTCTGTATTTATTCACAATTGGAAGGCTGTAGTGATTTGATCAAGGATGTCTAGTATCAGCTGATGTTGCTTATTTCTGGATTTTTTTTTAAATTTTTTTATGGTAATTCCTGGGTTGTATGTTTTGATTTTGTGAGCTATTGTGACCCATACATGATAGATTTACACACATAGTTCAACATTGGGATGAGGTGTTGGATGGAACCACTTTGTGAATCCTAAACATGTGCTGGTGCGCATGTATAACTTTAAGCATATGTGTTGAACTATGAAAATGTTTTACTTGCTTGTATAATGGAAAGTGCATTGCTATCAAGCCTGCAAACTTGTGCAAGTTTCGTAACCAAATTCATGTATCACCTTAAAAATGGTTCTTAAGAAAATGAAATTTTGTTCTCCTAGAATTGTCTGTATGAGTGTTGGACATGGGAGGATATAGGTGGCATGCAAGTCATAATTCTTTGTGCACAATCATCTATTTTTATTAAAAACATTGTCTACAATGTATTTTGCTCTAACCATTAATTATTATGTATTATCTTTGATCCTCAAATTTTCAAAACTTTTAAAGTTTTTAAGACTAGACTATTTTTCAAGAAAATATTATATTTTCATGGTTAATATTCTCCTGAGTCATACTGGCATGGGTAGAGAGCTCATGAACATTGCTCTGGTCTTTTGTGAAGCTTCAAGTGAGCAAATGTCTGTAGTTAGATTATATTTTAAGTATGCATCTTTCTTCTTCTTTTATTATTATTTTTCCTCTTTCTTATGAATGCTTACTCATGATGAATATTTTTTTAAATTCTTTTCTCGGGTTTTCTATTGGAAACTATTTTCTGATTGTCCACTTGGATAAAATGATAAACCCAGATCCTTTTTAGATAATCCTGCTACTGTTTTTATTCAAGCAAATATACTTCAATTCTTGATTTTTCCAGATTGCTCACTGTGGTAGCATAAAAATATGTTTGTAGTATCTTATGGCAGAATTCTCTTTTAGATGTCTTCGTACAAAAATTGCATTGTTGCTGCTCTTTTAATGATGTTTGTGTTATTATTATTATTCTGATTTATTTTCCTGTCTACCACCATTTTAAATTTCTCAATTCATTCTGTGTTTATGTTACTGTAATTTGTTTGACAGGGTCAATACAAGTCAACTTTGGTTTGCCCTGTATGTAATAAAGTTTCAGTCACATTTGATCCTTTCATGTACCTTTCCTTGCCACTCCAAGCTACTATTACCCGTTCTATGACAATAACAGTTTTCACTTGTGATGGAAGTGCACTGCCATCTACTTTCACTATTACTGTCCCAAAGCAGGGACGTTGCAGGGATTTGATCCAAGTGCTAAGCAACGTTTGTTCTTTGAAGCAAAGTGAGGAGCTTAAGCTTGCAGAGGTTTGTAGCATTATACGTTTTGTTACATGTTAATTGATACATGCACAAATATATGATTTGGTTGAATTATTTCCATGCTGCCTATAGATACGAAACCATTCGATACAAAGATTTTTAGAAGACCCTTTAATATCATTATCCACAATCAAAGATGATGACCGCCTTGCTGCCTTAAAGGTTCCAAAGTCCGTGAAGAATGCAGTTTATCTCCAGTTGGTACACCACCGCCAAGAACAGTATGTTTAACTTGCTAGAACTTTACATTAAATTCATTTGAGGAATGTATAAAGTGTCTTGCTTTTCTGGTCAGCATGGCACATAATTTCCTGCTAGAAATTCTTGAACCTCTTTATACTAGTAGTAGTTTTATTATTATTATTATTATTTTTTTAATTCTAAGAGTTTTTCCCATGTATTGGTATTCTTCTAATTTGATTTTTTATTTTCTTACTTGCTGTATAGGGATTCTGCTGGTGCTCAAGCCACTTCACGATGGAAACCATATGGATTGCCTCTTGTCTCTTTCATATCACGTCATGATGTAATTACAAGAGGCAATATACAGACATTAGCTCACACAATGCTTTCTCCTTTGCTTAAAAGAGAGAGTCTCAGGCATACTGAAATTTCTGATCCTAGCACCTCAATGGCAGTGGTAGATCCATCTAGTGCCATTAGTTCTAGTGATGCACGTTTTGAATCTTCATCCAAAATAGTAAAGAAGGATGTTAGTGGTTCTAAAGCATTGACATTGCCAAAACTACCACTTTATTTGGTTGATGAAAGTAATGCACGTATTGATCTGTCTGTGGGAGAAGAAAAAGCCATTAGACTTCCCTCATCATCAACGTTGACAGTAGTACAAATTGATTGGTCACAGAAGCTGTTGGAGAAATACAATATTAATTCCCTGGAGAACTTACCAGAAGTGTTCAAATATGGCCCTGTAACCAAGAAGGCGCGTACTGAACCTCTCTCTTTGTATACCTGTCTGGAAGCTTTTCTGAGAGAAGAGCCTCTAGTGCCTGAAGATATGTGGTTAGTATATGCTTTCGCTCACTATCTTTCCGTGCATGATATCATCACATGGGCAGGACATGTGGAATTGTTGATAGATATGATATGTATTATACTTTTATGATCAATTCAAATTGAATTTATGGTGTTGCAAACTATAGAGACATCAGTCTAGTATTAGTTGATCTAGTGCCTTAAAGTCAAGGGTTCCATTCTTGCATTTGGATGATGAATTACCCTTTGCCAGTTTCCTGTGGTTGATGTGTCAGATGTTGGTTATTTTTTACTTTTGATTAACTTAAGCATGTGAATCTTCTTTTCTCTTCAATCATTTAAATTGGGAGGAGTTTTAGGTCATGTTTAGGATGATTCTTGAGAACTTCTGGCTGGCTTTTTTGTTTGTTTTTTTATTTTTGCTATTTTTATGCTGTCGTAATTTATAGGGGCAGCAGTCATCTTGTATTAGTTGGTCTAGTGCCTTAAAGTCTATGGTTCTAGTCTTGCATTTTGATGACGAATTACCGTTTGACTTGTGTCCTGTAGGTGATTTTGGATATGCAGGTGATTTTCACTTTATTAACTTAAGCATGCAAATCTTTTTTCTTCTTCATTCATTTAATTTGGAGGGACTTTTGGGCCAGGTTTAGTATGGATTGTTGGGAACTCTTGGCATTTTCTTTTTTTAAATGATTGTTAGGCTGTTTGGTATACACATTAGCTCTTTCTTGTTTTCTTAAGCTAACCCTTCTTTAGTGGACTGTTTTTTCGCTTTTGGATAACTCTTTTTATTGATGCATCTTTCATGTATTGTTATGAAAAAAAAAAAAAAAAAAAAACCTTAAGCTCTTGATATTGCCAATGAACAATTTTTTCTTAAGAGTTTAACTTGCTCAGCGTGGATATATTTGTATTGTCATTAATCAATTTTTGTTTCCTTGATTTTTTGGAGATCTTTAACAACGGTTGACCATTTCTGAATCACTCATTATAGTAGTGTGCTGTAATCTTGAGCACTTATATTTGATTTCATAATATCCCAGCTATTTGCATGACACTCTTTAAGAAATCCTGTGCTGTCTACTTGCATTTACAAGGAAATTATATTTTGAATTCCGAAAATAACAAGAGTTATTATTGTATATCTGATGAAGGTACTGTCCACAATGTAAAGAACGAAGGCAAGCAAGTAAAAAGCTTGATCTTTGGAGGCTCCCAGAGGTTTTAGTCATTCATCTGAAAAGATTCTCATACAGCAGGTCAATGAAGCATAAACTAGAAACATTTGTCAATTTTCCGATTCATGACTTTGACTTGACAAATTATGTAGCCAACAAAAACAACTCCCAACGTCAACTCTATGAACTCTATGCCTTAACCAACCATTATGGTGGCATGGGCAGCGGGCACTACACTGCACATATCAAGGTAAGTTTATAGCTTTATATCTTTTCTTAAACAAGGAAAAAGCTTTTTAGCTGTCCTCAATTGGTAAATGGTCACATACTAGTATGATTTTTGAAATTTGTTGTCTCCACTGTTGAACTGTGCTTAACACACCTCGTTAAATATTGAGCCTACTTTTACTGATCATTGTTGCTGAGGCCTTTGTAAATATTGCTGTAAGTATCTTGAAATTTTATAGCAGATGACCATTATTCTCTGTCTAGTTTCATGCTTATAGATGCAATCTTGGGGTGATGGTCTGTTACTAATTTTGACTTCATTTTTTAATGGAATATTCCACTTAGTTCAAATCTCACCCTATATTTGCATCATTTTATAACATGCAGCTCCTGGATGAGAACAGGTGGTACAACTTTGATGACAGCCACATATCGCCCATAAATGAAGAAGATGTAAAGTCTGCAGCTGCATATGTCCTCTTTTACCGGAGGGTGAAGTCTGATGCCTCAAATAGCAAGGTATCACAATCTGGTGCTGGTCATGACAACATTTCCTCTTAGTAGTAATATTGAAAAGACAAGTGTATTTTCTCACCAAAAGTAACAATAACCAGTTGTGTGTATGCAAACTAAAAAATTGTATTATTTGCATGAAATTTATGATAAAATATAGTATAAGCCTTGACATAGGAAAGCTGGACTCACCTCTTAGTGGAAGTCTTTAGATTAAGGTACACTATAAATTCTTCTCAAGTACCAGGATGATGTTTCCTTTTGGTAATTGGTTTTGGCGTTAAAAGTTGTTTGGGAAAGGAGGTCGTAGCTAATATTTGGATGATAAGTGATGGGTGCATGTTTAGGTGATGAACTGAATTCAAAGGGTTTAAATTTAGAGGGTTTCCAAGACACTGTAGGTTTCTGGATTCTCCACGACAAAAGGGTTTAAATTCATCCGGGGTAGTTGCATTGCTCTACTTGTTTGTTGGAAGAGTGGCATATGGAAGGGTAAGTCTTGCCAGGGATTCGTCTGAACTGGGCTATGCTTATATATTTGTTCAATATAACTGTTGTACTCCTACACATGCATTAAAGTAGGCATTATACTCTTCTTTTTAGACGAGTTGTACTTCATTAATGTGCAAAAATCTTGTAAACTATGGAAGTTTCTAATTTATGTCCTAATCTTAATAGTGTATTAGATTGGAATATAAGCTGATCTTACAGGCTATTGCAATTTGCAAATACGCAAAGATTAAACTTTGTTTATGTGCGGCATGGTGTTGAGGTCCTTAAGTTGTTGTAAATAGTGTAAATACTAATGAAAAGTTGGGCTTGATCGCTTTGAATATAAGCTTCTGCTCTAATTAATTCCATGAAGCGTCTTAGATAGAGATGATGTTGATGTGGCAGAAGCCTCCTTTACTCTGCTAGACCAATCAAAGAGTAGAAAATATGCATTAAGGCCCGGGATGCTTTATACTAATTTCTGTTCTGGTTGTGGCCATGCGTTCCTAACCTAAAGTTATTAAGGGAAGAAGAGAAAAAACAAAAAAACAAAAATAGAATGATACATGATTTGGGATGTAAAATTTGGGATAAGTATTTAAAAGTATGACATATTCCTTTTGTATTAATAATATATATTTTTTTTCATTAAAGTTCATCTAAAACAATAAAATAATTAAATATTATGCAGAAAACTTTTCAGTTCTTATCCTACCTCAAAAATAATGAATTCTTAATTATGCCCTGGTGTACTTAGAAGTTAAATGTGTATAAACTATTAAGTATGCTACAAGCAGCTAAACGTGACTTACGCTTATCAAATTGGAAAATATAATTAATCTTTTTAGTGTTTTAAATTACCATTAATGTGTAATTTCTATTGCATCATGACTTTTTCCGTTAAGAAATAATTATATACACTTTGAATATGTTATACATAAATGTCTTTCCAATATCATATTCATGGCACAAGAGTGAATGGTATGTTTTCACCATTGGCCAAGTGTTACTAATCGAAGGTCCATTAAGCTACATGTCAATGCATTGATTATATGACACCTAATGACTAAATGACAGGTTTTAATTAGTTTGAGGGGCTGCTAAACTGCTATATAAACCCCTTCCCTCATTTGTGATTTGGTTGTACCAACGAGGAATAAGTGAATGTGAAAGCATCCTGTAATTCTTTCTGTATAATTTTAGTCCATTTACTTTATATTGTTTGCAATTATTTTATAACATGTTATCANTTTGAATATGTTATACATAAATGTCTTTCCAATATCATATTCATGGCACAAGAGTGAATGGTATGTTTTCACCATTGGCCAAGTGTTACTAATCGAAGGTCCATTAAGCTACATGTCAATGCATTGATTATATGACACCTAATGACTAAATGACAGGTTTTAATTAGTTTGAGGGGCTGCTAAACTGCTATATAAACCCCTTCCCTCATTTGTAATTTGGTTGTACCAACGAGGAATAAGTGAATGTGAAAGCATCCTGTAATTCTTTCTGTATAATTTTAGTCCATTTACTTTATATTGTTTGCAATTATTTTATAACATGTTATCAGCACGAGTAGTTTGGATGCAGTTTCTACACTATTATTATTAAATGTTGAATATATTATATATGTGTAATTCATAGATATTATTTATTATAACTATTCTTATGATCATGCTCTATAGTTTTCAAGATTAAATTGGACATTCCACACTGGAAAATAAATTTAGTTTATAATAATAATTTTAATATCCCATTTTCAACTTGAAGTTTGCAAAATTGTAGAATTTTATGGATATGAAGTCCTAATTGTCAAATAAGACTTGAAGTTTTAAAACTGATATAGTATTGGAATTAAAGTTTTAAATATCAAATATTTAAAGCTCAAAGTTCTGGACATTAATTACAAACTTGAACTTTGACCAAAAATCAATATGATATCAGAACTAGGGTTTTAAATATCACAATTTAAAGCTCAAATTTCTGGATACCAATTACAAACCTAAAGTTGTAAATTAGAGATATAAATGGACCTAAAGTTCTATATCATAAACATGAGGTTCATATAAAATTTGGAGTTTAATTTCATTAGAACCTAAAGTTCTAATTTCTAAATGTCATATATATCATCAAGATATGGAGTTAGAACCTGAAGTGCTAATACCAATAGCAAACCTAAAGTTTTGTTAACATGAGTATAGGATTGATGAAGAAAAACATGGTTTTGATAGCCATATCTATTTATGGGTAATAGTGAGATTACCACAAAGTCATTTTTGTATTTATAGTTTGGACCCATTGAATGAAATAATAGGTCATGCGTAGAATTGGAACAAAGAACAAACTCTATTTAGTCCTTATATTCTTTATGCATGTTTGTTCATCCCCCATATCCTTACTTATTTTTCAATAAGATATCATCAGAATTTAAATTTCTGAAATATGGATTAAGAACCAGAAGTTTCTAAATACCAAATGTTAACCTAAAGCTTACAATATAATAGAAGTTTAAGATGTGAAAACGAATCCTTATATCATGTATCCAAACGATGCGAACCGAATTTTGGAGAGAATCAATTATCCTTGTAGGATAAGATGAAGTTCTAATTTTCTTTCATTTCCTAAATCAAATTATTAAAGCTTAATTTCTCAATATGCCGATTCTGTAAAAGACTAGAATGACCACTGAAAAGAGATATTCTCCTTGAAGCTCAGGACAGTCAATTATTTGACATTACAAAGCAATTTCTAACACATAAATTAATAATGTTATGTCACAGTTGAAATTGTATGGTTCATGACATTAACTGGAAGTATATGTTTAATATCTACTCTTGAAGAAGTAGAATGGATATCAAATCTACTCCTGAAGTAGCGGTATAGATATCATCGAGATACATATATTTAGAATTGATGTAATGTCTCTTGATTGTTGAATAAATCAATGAGTTTTTTATATAAATTATAAATCACTCCCAAGTGGTCAATGTCTTAGAGGTGAATGTTGACCAATTAATAGTCTAACAATTTGTTGAGCCCCTAACGGGTGATATTTTTACTACACAATTTGCAGAGTTTGATCAGATAGTATTCCGATGTTTAGAAAAATGATAAAACCTTATGAAGTAAGGTATGAATTTTCATTGAAAGATACACGATATGTCTCACTTAGATTCTCACACACCTTAATGTGAAATATGAAATCCCAAGGATAATGCATCTCCAAGATATTGTTTATAAAATGTCACACACATTTATAGATGCATAATGAAATCACATATAAATACACTAGCGAGGGTTATTACTCCAACTGAACAATATGTTAAAATGGCCACAAATAATTTATTTGTTGCACCGTAGAAGAGTGGTAGACCCCATAGATCCAAAGATATTATTTCTTGGAAGAGGAAAATAAAGAATGAAACTAACACTAATGTTACTAATAATATTGCTCGAGCTATAGATAAAACCACATTCTCTAACTTAATTCTTGAAGAAATAGTGCTTATAGAAGAGATAAAAGCCTAGAAGAAGTCATGCCTTTGAGGAAGCACAAGTCTTAGAAGAGACTAAACTACCAGAAGGGGCTCATGCTCCAGAAACAACATATAAGAATGATGCCCTAGAAGTGGCAAATGTCGAAGAAATAATACATAGAATTGTTGCCCCATAAGTGGCACATGTGTCAAAAGTGGCATATAGAAATGTTGAAATTTCTTTAAGTTTTGCATATACTAGAGAAATGTAAAATCGTGAAAATATGATCATCAATGATATCTTCTCATTTATAGTAGCTACTGAAATTATGAATGATAATTTCGAGCTAATTATTGTTGGGGAGTGTACACATAAACATGACAGGCTAAAATGGGAAAAAGGCAATTAAAAAGAATTAACTATTCTAGCAAATAGTAAAGTATGTAGACCTTTAGTCAAAAAACTTGGAAATGTTAAACTTGTGGGATACAAATAAGTATTCACAAGGAAACAAATTGAGAAAATAAATTTCAAAATATAAAGCCAAACGTGTGGTTCAAGGTTATTAGCTTATCAGTCCTAGAATGACTTGATATGCATCTCATAAATTTTGTCACTACATACTTGTACAACAAAATAGATACTGATTTTTATGAAATTCCACGAAGGGTTCAATTGCCTTAAGCAAATCCAAGAAATATGTATTGCAAAGATCATTCTATGGGTTGAAACAATCTAGATGAATATGGTATAACCATCTTAGTGAATACTTGATAAATGAGGGATATATTCCTATATACCCGTGCGTGCTCATATGGGAATCAATATTTGGTTTTGCCAATTGTGTTATTATGTGTCGATGACATGATCTTATTTGAACTCCTAAAGAACTTATACAAAAGTAGTAGAGTGCTTAAAAAGAGAATTCAAAATAAAGGATCTAGGAAAAGCAAGATATATCAACCTATAGAATTAAAATTTTTCGAATAAAGTATTGATCCTTCAATCAACTTATACTAAAAAGATCCCAAGAAGTTTTAATATGGATAGAGGCTCACCCTTTTAAACACCCCTGGTTCAGTCTCTTGATCCTAACTTAGATAAATTTCATCCTGAAGATGATGATGAAAATATACTTGGTCCTGAAGTACAATATCTTTATGCAATATGTGCTTTATTACACTTAGCACAAATATATTATATCAGACATTGCATTTGCAATCAATATAGTGGTGTTGGATACCTTTCTAATCCCTACAAAGCCTAAACGGGCAATATTTTCACTTAAATGGCACAACAAATATCGTGACACTCTAAAGCAAACTTTGGTTGTCATATTTTCTAATTATTTAGAAATCCTAGCACTTCATGAAGCAAGCTGAAAATGCATATTGGTATTGACATCAACTTTTGAGAAGTTGGTATATTGCATCGGTCTGCCATAGCTTAATAAGTAACCAAGTTAATCTTTCTATTATTAGAGAAGCAATAATAAGAGGGACCAAAATTTTGAGGAGAGCTATTGTACTGACATAGGGGCACTGTACTCCTTCTTCCTTGTCTAGGTTTTACTCCACTGTGTTTTTCTAATAAGGTCTTTTATGAAATAGTATTAAGCATGTCCAACATCATTATACAACTCATCAAATAATTGTGTTTTTTTGTTTAGGTTTTTGTCCCACTGGGTTTTTCCTAAGTAAGATCAAATACAATTTTATGTAAATGGTGGAAATCCAAAGGAAAGTGTTATACATAAATGTTTTTCCACCATCATGGCAAGTGGCACTAAGACAATAGTGAATGGTGTCTTTCACCATTCAGCCAAGTGTTACTAATCTAAAGCCCATTAAGCTACATGTCAATGCATTGATTATATGAGTGACACCTAATGGCTAAATGACAAGTTTTGATTAGTTTGGGGCGTGTAATTACTTTATAAATCCCTCCCCTCCTTTGTAATTTGCCCACACGAAAGAGAATTAAGTGAATGAGAAGGCAAACAACATTAGTCCTCTAATTCTTTCCCTATACATTTTAGCCCATTTACTTTATGTTGTTTGCAATTATTCTAGCACAAAATACTAATTCAAAAATATTACGTTTTCAATTAAATCTCACAACTTTTTCTTATAACCCTAACATGTTAATAGAGTTGATACTACTACGTCAATTGATGACTTTGACTAAACACAAACGATTATTCTTTAGGAACAAACGATCGTTTATTCATAAGGAATTGATGTTCCATTTATATGGAATAGTTTTTTCTTCATAAAGAATAACCGTACCGTTCATAAGGAATGACTATTTTCCAAATTTCTATGAAGGTACTTTATTATTTCTTGAACTTGTTGAATTTTAATTAATTTAACACAAAAATTCAAGGTTGAAATGATATTCTCCCTTAAAATAATTATTCATCTTGGCCTACAATTATCCAAACTTATTTTAATACTTAATCATGCGAATTATGTAATTTTCAACCAAGATTTTTAGAAACTTATAATCGAAGTAAGCTTTGAGAGTTGGCTTTTGATTGATTAGTTTGCCCACTTTACAATATTTTATAGTTAATTATTGTTTGAGGAAAGGTACTTATCATCAGAGTCAACTGTTTAATAAAATTTATTATCTAACACAACTTAAACAATTATATCTTTTTCATTAGTATTCGTGTTTGTTATAATCTATTATTAAATTTGATTAATCTTTAAATTGTTTCAGTCTTATAAGTTGCATTATTTTAATTATTGGAAAAAAAATAATAGAATAACTAATGTTTCTAAAACCTTATTAGTTGTAACTTCTCATTTGTTTAAGAACGGACCTGCATAATACTTAAATATAGACCTACATATATAATAGTGAGTGGAGCTGATGACCTTACTAAAATAAAAAATTCATTAATATATCTTTGTTTTTTGTTTTAATTTTATTAATATTTCTACATTTGACCACTCATTTACCTTTTCATATACATATTCAATTACTATATTATTATATTTTGAACTTATCTCTTAAATTAATTCTTTGGTTGATTATAAGAGTNGGGATGAAAACCATATCATCATAAGAAGTGCCATTAGTAGAATCTGGAGACTGGATAGTAGCAAACGGAAATGATAATTCATCAAAGATCACATGCCTGGATATGAAAACACGGCCTGAAGAGGGATCGAGACAGCGATACCCTTTATGGTTGGGGTGGGGCTATAACCCAAAAATACACATTGGCGAGAACGAGGTTCCAGCTTGTGAGCGGTATAGGGTGCTAAGTGGGGATAGCACGCACACCCGAATGGTCGTAGGGCCTTGTTTGTAATCTGGTAGACGACCAAAAAGAGCTTCAAAAGGAGAACGCCATCCCAAAGTAGGCGTAGGCAACCGCTTTCTCAAAAAGACAGAAGTGCAAATAGCTTCCGCCCAAAAATCAAAATCAAAATAAAGAGGTACAGAGGATGCAATCATTAACGTACGGCCCATCTCAGAAATATGGCGGTGTTTACGTTCAACCAAACCATTCTGCTGTGGTGTCTTTGGACAAGAAAAACGATGGTGAATCCCTTTTTCATCACAAAGACTGCGAAAACTAGAGTTATCAGATTTCCGACCACCATCACTCTGAAAGATCTTGAGTGTCATACCAAATGGATTTTCCAAAAAAGCCATAAACCGAGTGAAACAAGAAAAGACTGAATTTTTATGTCGCATAAATCCATGAATATCGGGTACAATCATCCGTAAACATAACATAATAGCGAAAACTCGAAACAGAAGAAATAGGAGACATCCATACATCAGAATGCACTAAATAAAAAGGGACATGAGCCCGTCTGTCAACAATAGAAAAGGGCTGTTGGGTAGATTTTCCCATAGCACAATCTTTGAAAAAACTACTAGAAGAAATTCTAGCAGTAAGGTCTAGAAACTTATTGGAAATTAATAATTAATAAACGTAATAAAAGAAGGATGTCCAAGTCTGTGATGCCAGAGATCGCCTGAAACAGAAGAGGCAGAGAGGGCAGAGAAGGGTCCTGTCTTCGGCTGGATAGTTGCTGTATTCGACTTGATAGGATAGAGATCTCCTTCACATTGGCCTTGAAGCAAGATTTTTGGCAATCAAATCCTCAGCAAGCAGTCCTACCACTCAATCCTCATGCGGAAGAAGAAACTTCCTTAAAAGGGTAAAGATTTGGTGTGATGTTCATGAAGCCATCGAATTTCCGCGTTTTTATATGAGAATGAAATTGGGTTAATTTATTTATTTTTTATTCAAAAAATGCTTACATATAAATTAGTTAAAAATTATAAAAGAAGGTTTTACAAGAATTTTGTTAATAAGGTTACTTAGTATAATTTTCCAAAAGTTTTCATCCCACCCTAAAATTAATAAATTCTTAGTTACGGCCCTAACCCTAAGTATTTAGATGTGTATAAAGAATTTACTACAAGCCGCTATATGTTGTTTACTCATCAAATTGAAATTATAATTAATCTTTGTACGTGTTTTAAATTAGCATTAATGGATATTTCTACTGTAATATGATTTTTTTTTTTTTTTGAAGTAATTATTTCAATAATTATATATCCTTTGAACATTCACTTTCTCATCAGAGTCCAGTACTGATCAATAAAATTTATTATCAATGACAACTTAAATAATTATATATGTTTCATTAGAATATATATATTCTTGTTTTGTTATATTGTATAATATTTGTTGAAATTTGATTAATCTTTAATTTGTTTCAGTCTTATTAGTTGTATTATTTTAATTATTGATTTCTAAAGTCTTCTTTTTCTAGATTAATTTGCCCTAGAATTATGTTTGAATAAACTCAGAGATTATGTATCGAGGTGGAAGAAACAAAACAAAGCAAATACCAGTTGCTGAGTACAAAAGCGATAACTCTGATATCGCTATTATACGAAAGCGTACGTCTACATCTCAAAACCGTGATGAAATATGTTATGTATATTCAACGCTCTAGATAATTTGGTTTTAATAATACGCACACACGTGTGTGTGTGTATATATATATATATATATGTTCTTTTATCAATTCTTTATATGGCATCTTACACTCAAATTTTTAATTGGAGGAAAAAAGTTAAGGATAAACAAAGTCAACAAATTAGATAATCATATATCATGCCATAGCATTAACATCCAAAATTTTTTATTATAAGCAATTGCCATTTTTTAAATCATCAATGGTACTTCATTCCGTTTTTAATATGAGAATGAGAATGGGTTAATTTTAATTCTTTTGATTTTTAGACAACAAAATGGTTACAAATAAATTATTAAAAAAATTATAATTTACACGATGGCAGTGGACTTCCCGGTGAATGGAGAGACAGCGGCAATGAAATTTTCAACATTGTGGTTTTATTGATAGAGAGAAGGCATTTATGTTTGAGTCAGCGGTAATTAATGGCAATTTGTTGTTGGGGTTTTATTGATATATACAATAATCTAAACATTGTGGAGAGGAATTTTAAGCAAAGTTGCTGACAAGGACGGTGGTTGGCAAAATCGGTGCCCGCGTTTCGCAATCACATACATTATCAAACAAATATATTTTATTACACAGAAGCATATGAACTTAATTACTGATTCATTAGCTCAGTTGATTATGTCTACACATCTTTCTTTCACTCTGACATGTAACCCATTTTTCATTCTCAGAGTCAACGATAACACGTGTCCAGGACACTTCCCCTTACCCTGTACGTCAATCACAAACCTCTCTATCACAGACGCTGCAATTGATTTCATCTGAATATATGCCATTTCTTTCCCCAGACACATTCTCGGCCCAGCATGAAATACCGGGAACTTAAACATATTTTCCGGCCGATAAATTCCATTTTCCAGCCACCTTTCGGGTAGATATTCATGGCAATTCTCGCCCCATATGCTCTCCATTCGCCCCATCGTATATGCATGATACGTTACAAACCATCCTTTGCCGACAAATGTGCCGTCCGGCAACATATCGTCCTTGATGCAAGCTTTTGTATCGATGGGTACTGGCGGGTACAATCTCATTGCTTCAGATATCGTTGCATGCAAATAATGCATCTCTCGTAATTCATCGTAACTGTAAACATTTCCGATACTTTTTCCGTTTCGGCTCCGAATTGACTCAAGCTCCTTCAATATCTTTTGTTGAACGTCTGGACGGGTAGATAATACCCAGAAGAAGGAACTTAAAGCGGAAGATGTCGTGTCTCGTCCTGCAAGAATGAAGCTTATGACTATATCTCGGAGAAATTCCGGGGAGTAATGATTATCACTTCCGATAAATCGTGATAGTAAATCTTCATCCATATTTTTGGCTTTTGCTTCCGTTCTTGAACGAATAATATCGTTAGCGAATTCATGAACTTCTGAAATTGATTTTCTCAGTACACGTTCTGATCCTATGTTAAATAACCTCTTGATTCTCCATATGAATGCGAATACAGACAAGAATCTGCTAGCACTAAGAGTTGCTGCATCTTCAAACGCACGCATAAACTCGGAACGAGCAGTTCCATCTCCACCAAGACAACCGGGATCAACGTTAAAAGCCACCTTACATATGTTATCAAACGCAAAACGCTCTAAAATATCTTGTAAATCCAACACTAGTTCTGTTTTCGAGGCTTTGTTTAAAATGGGAACTAACCTTGACAATATCTCAGTACTGACATTCTCCATAACGAAATTTCGAAGCGATTTTGTGTTGAACTCATAGCTAGAAGTTTTCCTCTGGACTTTCCATAACTCTCCATCGGAGTTAAAGATTCCTCGGCCGAGAAAATCTTCAAGAAGCCGGATGAACCGATAGCCTTTTGGGTAGTTCTCAAAGTTGGTCTTGAGAATATGCTCGACGTTCAATGGGTTCGCCGTGACAACGCCACGGACTTTGCCAGGACGGAACAAGGTAGAAGTGTTGTTGGGAGAATCTTTAAATTTCGGTTGTCCAGTCAAGGAATCGTTTTCAGTTTTTGATGAAATCTGGTAAACTCCTACAATAGCGTAATTTTTGAAGCCTTTTTTAAACGGGTTTTTTGTTCGAAGTGTAAAAGTAGAAGTAAGGGAGAGAGAACGAAAGAAAGTAGAAAACTTGAAGAGAAAGAGTTCCATGTCTGGCTTGTGATTTATGCAGAAATCTTGAACGAATTTAGAGAGCAACTGATTTGTATTTCAATTGCCCAAACCTTCCATACAAATGAGGAAGAGCTACTGCTCTTTTTATACCAACACTGTTTACAGAGTAAAGAGTAAGGTGAGCTGAAACCTTTACTTAAACGACACCGCTTTGCCCTTAAAGCATCCAATACTTAACGACTTTGCATTTCACCCTCTTATACAACCTCTCCTCTCAAAGCAACCTGGTTTAAGTACTTGACATCTGTGCACTTACACTACTTTTCTTATCTCACATCTCCTCTCAAACGAAACCCGGTTAGGGGCCTCACCCACCAGTTTCAGTCATCAGTCTGTGCACTTACACTACTTTTCTTATCTCAACATCTCCTCTCAAACGAAACCTGGTTGAGGGTCTTTACTACCAGTTTCAGTCATCAGCAAACAAAAATTTAGTAACTCAATTCTGAAAAATGTCAGCATCTCAATTCTGATTCTCACTGCCAAATTCACAACTCAGTTCTGATCATCAACAAAAAATGTCAGCAACTCATTTCTAAAAAATGTCAGCCAATTCGCAACCATTTCAAATCTCACAACTCAGTTCTGATTCTTCACTACCAAATTTAGTCATGAAAACTTCACCAACACTACATTAACGTTTCAATCATCAGAACACATCAGCCACAGAATCAGTAACATTCACTATCAATTTCACCAACCTGGTTAAAGGTCTTTATTACCAGCTTCAACCATCAGAAACTTCATCACATTCATTAGCAGTTTCAATCATAGCTCATTAGCCATCGTTTCAGTAAAAAAAAAAAACCAGTTTCACCAAACCTGGTTAGAGGGCTTCATTACCAGTTGCACTAAACCTGGTTAGGGGTCTTCATTACCAGTTTCAAGCATCAAAAGCTTCATCAACATTCTCTATCAATTCTAGGTCTGAACATCAAAATACACTGCAACACTCATATTGGAAACACCAGCGGCTGCAGAAAGTTACTGCAAAGAAAATCAGCAACCAGAACTCAAACTTGAACCATCAAGAACGGCCATTTTTTGTCTAAGCTCACTGAATTGAACAACTGAGAGAGGTTTTGTCAGAAGATCAGCAATTTGAAGTTTTGATGACACATATTGAACCACTAGCTTCTTGGCAAAACTTATTCACGAATGTAGTGTGCATCCAGTTCATATGTTGGTCTGTGCTAGAAAACTGGATTAGAAAAGAGCTCCGCACTCACATTATCATATCACTGGAGTTGTAGGAAATTTAGGCCCAATTCAGAGAACATATTCTGTAACCAGGCTATCTCAGTGGCAGTTTGGGCAAGTACCTGTACCAGGGCCGGCTTAAGGGTAGGCAGGGTGAGGCACCTGCCTAGCCCCAAAAAATGGGGCCCAAATTTTATAAATTTTTTTTTTTTTTTTTGTATCTTTAAAAATGAAAATGGTTTATAATTTTCTATCTAAGCCAAGGGCCCCCAAAAAAAAAAAAGCCATAAAAGCCAAATTTATATAACTTTTTACATATATTCCCACCCAAAGTTTAACAAATAGCAAGTTTATACCTTTAGTTTATATATTCTAGTTTATACCCCTAAATTAACACATTGAATCTCTTTTAAACAATGGAAGACTAAAATAGTCATTTATATACTCAAATAACTCACCCCCATTCACATCCCAAAATTTGACATTCACATAAATCATCTCCAGCCCTCTTCTGCCACCAGTGGTTTGGAGTTGATTTCGGTCAATTTTGGTTCCTGGTCGATTTTCCCTCACAAATCGACCGAAATCATCATTTTATCATTTCCCACCTTGATATCCTCGATTTGACTAATTTTTTATGAATCTCGCAACCCAACTCCACCACACGACAGCCATTTCCAACCTTTTTGGATGTACTCGACATTGTTGGCTTTCCCCGACACCACCATCTTCCTCCCCTCAGCCCTCTCACCAAAACCTCTATCATACCTTATCCGTTTACTCTGCCAATCGCCGGCCATTGATACCTTTTGGGTTGTGACTTTTCAAGCTTTTTCTTATCAATCTTGACTTGGAAATCACCCATTTCACCACCCATCACTTCTCCACATATCCACTCTCCAAACCCCCCACCAACCTAACCCTGTTAGCCTCCCGATTGTTGTTCACCTCTCCTAGTGATTTTTCATTTCAAAAGGTAAAAAAAAAAAAATAAATAAAAAAATATTTTTTAATATATCCTTATATTATTAGAGGGCCCTAAAGTAACTCCCCCTAGGGTCACAAATGTTCTAGAGATGGGCCTGCTCTGTCCTCAGCCTCAGTTGAGGACAATACTACAACTTTTGCTTGCGAGAACTTCATTGAATGAGATTTGGACCTAAGAAACCACACACCCCACTTGTAGACCTTCGGCCATCAAAGACTCCTTCCCCATCACATGACATAACACCTCAATATTTTGTCATAAATCGTAGAACAATACAAGGTAATGTGATTTTAGCCGTGTATATATATATAGTTGAACAATGAATTTTTTTTTTGTTTTTTTTTTGGGGGTTTTTGGTCAACCCATTATTAATTGCTAGCTTGATCAATGAATTGTAAAAATTGTTGATATTTCTTATTTTCTTCCAACTTAAGATACCTGACTCCAACTATATATTGTCGTAATATGGTATATAATCGTTGAAAAGCAATAATAAACTATGTATAAAATGATTTTCTTCGGGTATGATGATGGTTAAATATATTGGAAATGCTGAAATAAATGGGGAGCATGTTAACAAAAAAAAAAAAAATAACATAACAATAATAATAATAATTAAAAAAAGCCACTTAAAAAATTTTGTACCTGATTTGTAAAAGGCATCGCATCGCTACACCGAGCATCAAGCTGAAATATTTCATTCCGCATGCTTCTTAGAAATGTTTTCGATGAGAATATATGTTTTTCAGATATATATATATATATATATATATATTATATTATATTATATATATAGAGAGAGAGAGAGAGAGAGAGAGAAGAGAAGAGAGAGAGAGGAGAGAGAAGAGAGAGAGAGACACACTTCTCACAAACGTTGACGTAACAACTCATATTAGTTAGTTTGAATTTGTTAGACAGGATCCATTGTCATATTAATATGTGTGTGTGTGTGTGTGTGTGTGTATTTTTCCATCAGTCCCTAAAATGAAAATAATGTTATTTGTCTTAAGGTCTGCTTGGGAGTTTTTTTTTCCACTTGTTTTGAGAGATTTTTAATTAGACTAATTTTGAGTGTTCAAAAACCTACTCATTGCTGATATTTTTATGTACAGTTTTGACTGGCTCAAAAACCCTCCAAAATCAGTGTAGTGTAGTTTTTTGAGGGGTTTATAAAACACTCAAAATCTGAATGTTTTAGTTGATTTTAAATTTTATTCCACAATCATTACCACTATAAAACTTTTCCAATTATATAAAAAAAAAAAATTAACCTTTTTATGCGCATCTTCAACCAATTAATATAATAATTTTTATACAATCATAAAAGAAAATTATTAAAATCTCATTTTTAGATGCTTTCTTGGAGAAGTGGAGTTACAATTTTTCAATCATTCTTGAAACTACAAAGAATGGCGAAGAAAGATAAGGAGACTTTATTAGATTTGAAGTTATAAATACTAATAAATAGAAAACAAATAAAGAACCCTTACCTTGTAATTGAAAAAACAAAACTCCTAAATATTGGTTGAAGTTGGGTATTTTAATGAGCATATATGTAAATTATTATTTAAAAAAACCGTCAGAATCACTAGAAAATAAACTCTCAAGCACATGTTAGGTGTTTTAAAAACTGCTGCTAAATACCCCTCAAAACCGTTACAGTGGTTTACCTTTAAAACCGCTGTAATGGTTTACTTTTATAACTGCTATCATATAACTCTCAAGGGATCCTTAAGTAGAGAATTTTTAAAATGGTGTCTTTAAAGAGATACCTCCATACAATTGGTGTTGATTAATTCCAAGATAAAATGAATGTGATGTTAAGTAGACATTACAACCAAAATGAATAAAGAGTATTATTATATAAGGGGTTAGTTGTTTAAAATTTGTCAAAGAAAACAAAATAAAACTCATTTTAAATTAACCAATTTGTAACCATTTTTCAATAAATGTACTCTGGTTATAGTAGATCACGAAGAAGGTGAAAAAGAAGTACCTTTGAATTTGACTTGAGTAAAGAATAAGAATCACATGGATAATCAATTCCATAAACACTTGGGTAAAGTATTCCTCAAAATTAAAAAATAAATAAAACCCTAATTCTTAAGGTAGGGAATCCAATGAAATTACTTTTTTGACCCTATTTGAATTTGAATTTTCTATTTTTTCTTCTAAAGATTTCATTTCAATGTTTATTATTTCATAATTTAGTGATTATTAAAATAGTATTTGCAAATGTTGAAATTTGTCGAGTAGTGAACTGGCCATTGACTAGCAGTTGATCAATTCCATAAAAACATGGGTAAATGATTCCTTAAATTTTTTTACAAACCATAATTCTCCCGGTAGGGGACCCAATGAAATTACTTTTTTGGCCCTATTTGAATATAAATTTTCTATTTTTTCTCTTAATGATTTTATTTCAATGTTCATTATTTTTATAATCTAGTGATTATTGTTGTGGCCTGTTGATTTTGCCATGCTGAATACCTGGAGACTTGGAAGAAGCCTTTTTTCTCCCCTGCCCAGAACTGTTACTAAGCTGTGCTTTGCTGGGGAGTTATTTTTTGTCTGCAGGTTCCCTGCGGCTGGCAGTGCAGATCCTCTGTTTGTTTTTCATTCCTGTTGTACTTCGGCTGGGATTGTGCTGCATGGTTCTCTTTCCTTCTGCCTGTGGCTGGTTGTGGTTTTGTGTTTGGGCTGCTGCAAAAGTTTTTTGAATCTGGCTATTCTGGGTGTCTTTGTTGGTTGGTTTGATGTTTGGACTGCTATAGTGCTATGTACAGATTCTGCAGACTGTTTGGGAGGCTGGTTTGTTATGTGCAAATTGTGCAAATGTTTTTTTTTTTTTGTATGGCTGGTCAGATTTTTTTTTTTTTTTTTTTTTTTTTTTGATGCTGGTCTAAGTCGTATGCTTTGGTGGCTTCTGCTTCCGTATCTCTTCTTTTTGTTCTTTTTGCTTGATTCTTGGGCCTGTCCAAGGATCTTGCCTTTGTAATGGTCTTCTTTTTTAGGACTCATTTTTTCATTCTTTGTAAATTATCTTTTACCCAAAAAATGTTGAAATTTGTTGAATAGTGTACCAGTCATTGATCGACAATTAATCATCGCTGACAGTCATAATTTAGTTAAAATATCTATTATTAAAGTAAAAATAACAATAAAGAACTTAAAACTATAGTATTAATTTTTTTGTTATTATTTATATAATTAGTCTTTTTATTTGAAAATATAATATCATAATTTTAAATTACATTGAATATTTTAATATTGTAGGTATCTTTCTCATTTATCAAATATATCATTCAATTCCCTCCATATTGAATCTTATAGATAAACAATGGAATCATAATTCATTCCATCATTTATTTACTATTTGAACATCTATCATTTTCCAATTCTCTTTCCCTTTCAATATAATTCTAACAAGTAAACATGGCATGATGCTTATGTTATTCAAAAAGAAGTTAACGTGAATGGGAATCGAATGCAGAAAGGAATAGAAATATAGAACAGAGATTCCATTGTTTGTTGATGAAAACGTATTTTGAAGAAATGGGATAAATGAGATATGTAAATAAAATACCCTCAAATTTAAAACACTAAACATTATTAGTCAAATTCAATTATTTATGCTTGATTTATTCATATGTATAACTTTTCACATAACAACATAAAATATTGACTGTTGATACAAAAATCTACACCAACCAAAGAATTTCGATTGACCATGTCGGAATCGAATGGACGTGCGTGTGATTTAATAAAAATCAGCAATTGAATAATTAAAGAGAAAATACAAGTAATGATAAGAGGCAATTTTTAAAGTGGTTCGGCAAGTTTGAATCTTGAGCCTACGCCCATTGTTTCTCTTATTGAATGAGAATTACAAATGATGAATCTTTTCCTAAAATAATTGCCCCGCCCCATGAAAACAAGTTCTGATGGGTTTATATAGCACCCATTTATATGATAGAGTTGAGGTAAGATTCAAATACATAGGATTAGAAAGTTGCAAGATCTTCAGCTACCTTAGTTGGAATCTAAGTCAAACTAAATATCTTCCTTCTAAACTGAGCCAATTTAAATATCTTCTCTCATGATGGGGAATTATCCTCTTCGGATTCCCCGCACAACAATAGCCCTCCAGTTTTTGGAGTGCAAGTTCAAACTTCAAAAACTCATGTCTTTGATCTGAATTGTTGTCTCACTATAGGCTGCAGTCTCAAACTGAAGAGCTTGAATTATGTCTAGCTCGATCTGAGAGATCTTGAACATGTGATCTCAAGCGAATCAACGAGCCTATGAGCTCAATCAAAGAGCATAAGACGCTCAATCTGAGAACATAAAGAGCTTGATCAGAGAGCATAATTACTTAATCTGAAAGCGCGGGAGTTTGATTAGAAAGCACGGAGAGCTTGATAAGCACAGCTCGATCAGAATGCATGGAGAGCTTAATCAGAGAGCTTAGCTTGATCAGAGAGCATGGAGAGCTTGATCTGAGAGCATAACTTGATCAGAAAGCATGGAGAGCTTGATCTGTGAACATAGCTCGATCATAAAGCATGGAGAGTTTGATCTGAGAGCATAGCTTGATTAGAAAGCATGGAGAGCTTGATCTGAGAGTATAGCCCGATCAGAAAGCATGAAGAGCTTGATCTAAGAACATAGCTTGATCAGAAAACATGGAGAGCTTGATCTGAGAGCATAACTCGATCAGAAAGCATGGAGAGCTTCATCTGAGAGATAGCACGATCAAAAAGCTATACTTGATCATAAACCATGGAGAGCTTGATCTGAGAGCGTAACTCGATCAGAAAGCATAGAGAGTTTCATCTGAGAGATAGCTTGGTTAGAAAGCTATGCTCGATCATAAAGCATGGAGAGCTTTATCTGAAGCATAGCTCGATCATAAAGCATGGAGAGCTTTATCTGAAGCATAGCTCGATCAGAAAGCATGGAAAACTTGATTTGAGGGCATAGCTTAATCAGAAAGCATGGAGAGCTTCATTTGAGAGCATAGCTCGATCAGAAAGCGTTGAGAACTTGATCTGAGAGCATAGCTCAATTATAAAGCATGGAGATCTGGGTGCGCGATCTGAAGTTGAAGATCTGGGTGTGCGATTTGAAGCTGAAGATCTGGGTGTGCGATCTGAGAGATTTGACTGCACAATCTGAAATATGTTTCAATATCTTGACAATAACTGGAGCTGCAGACGTCGGATTTGGATGATTCTTAAACCGTTGGAAAGCTTACTCGAAGATCTACAACTCTTATGTTTACCACTTTGCCAGACTCATACTTTATAATGCTCAATACTCCCCATCTGTCAGCGGCCTCAATTCTAGAGTTTGATTTGGTGACATGGATTGTAGCCATGGTTGAATTTTTTTTTTTTTTGTGGTTGAAAGATGGAAAAGAAACTACTGGAAAACAGAGAGAGCTCAAAGTGTTTAAGCTCTCCTTCTAGCGCTAAAATGTTGATACAGAAATCTACACTAACTAGAGAATTTCGATTGACCTTGTCGGAATCGAATGAATATGCGCGTGATTTAATGAACTATCATATCATATCTAACCATGGTGAAATTTTTAGAAAAAGAAATTTAGTTTTCTAATTTTATATAATTTCTTAATTATTATTTTATAATTATATTTAAAATATCTCTTTAATTATAAAACCTAATAAGAATTTTCTATCTTTCCAATTTTTTTTTTTTTTTTAAATTCAAAATATACTCTCTTTCTATTATTTCCATATCACTATTCTACTTTTAAATAAACTTTATTTTTATATTTTTATTAATGCTATCCTTATTGTTGTGTGTGATTTCCGTCAAGCTTAGACCAATTTGAGGATATAGCTCGACACAGAATGAGCTTGATAACTATGATTGATCGACCCAACATAAGTTCATCGAGCTATAGCTCGATCCAACATAAGCTAGTCATGAGCAATTCAAGAAATCATTCAATCAATCCTTAGATTACTCAAATCTCAGATATTTTTTGGTTTTACGCTTGTTATGGCTGTCTTAGCCCATGTTGTGCTTGAAATGATCAAATTATCAATAACTCCCCTCCAATAGTCCAATTTACTTTAGCTTGTCCACTTTAGTGGGTGGCTATGTATTGTAACCGATTAGGTAAACGCACGAACAAACAGTAGGAAACATCCGCATCACAGTAGTTGGAAAGGCCGTTCTAACAACTGTGCTACCTGTCCAAGTAGCGTCAACTTCTTAAATATAGTCGAAAAATTATTCTACAATCAACTCAAATATTAGATACAGAGAGAAAAATTTCTATAATCAACCTCAAATATTGGATTGTTAAATGTTAAGTAGCTGACCTGTGACCAATTTTTAAGTCAATTACAATCTTTAAGCTTATAAACAAAAAAAACAAAACAAAAGAGCAGTTATAGTCACAAGTCCATCCTTTTGATCAGTATCTATAGAGATGGACTCAATAAATATAGTAAAGAGATATATATCATATCTAAACAGAGATTTTTCTGCAAGATAAAACCATCCTGCCTTTAATTCGGTGAATCAAATATAAATAAGTGACATCGAATTGTATTTATATGTTTATCCCTTTCACTTTAGCTTTTTCGACAATTACAACAGCACGTGACCTTTCAAAGATTGGGCAACATTCCGGCACCTGCCTTAAACATTCTAAATTATTGGTTGATATATAATTTTTATTTTCTTAAAAAATAAAAAACAAAAAAGCACGGCTCTCTCTCGAAGCCCGATCCCATAGCAACTGGCAACTTCCTTTCCAGTAGGTTAAGCTCAATTGATCACGTCCACACGTCTTTCCTTCACCCTCACGTGTAACCCATCTTTCATTCTTAGAGTCAAAGATAACACGTGCTCCGGAAACTTATCCCTATTCTGAACATCGATCACGAACCTCTCGATCACAGATGCCGCAATTGATTTCATCTGAATATATGCCATATCTTTCCCCAGACACATTCTCGGCCCAGCATGGAAAACCGGAAACTTAAACATGTTTTCTGGCCGGTAAATTCCATTTTCGAGCCACCTTTCGGGCAAATATTCATTGCAATTCTCACCCCATATACTCTCTATTCTCCCCATCGCATATGTATGATACGAAATAAACCATTCCTTGCCGATAAATGTCCCGTCCGGCAAGATGTCGTCGTTGCTGCAAGCTTTTGTATCAATCGGTACTGGTGGGTACAATCGCATCGCTTCGGATATTGCTGCATGTAAGTAATGCATGTCTCGTAGCTCATCAAAACTGTAAATATCGCCGATACTTTTCCCGCTTCGGACCCTGATTAACTCCAGCTCCTTCAGTATCTTTTTCTGAACGTCTGGACGGGAAGATAATAACCAAAAGACGTAACTTAAAGCCGAAGATGTTGTGTCTCGTCCTGCAAGAATGAAGCTTATGACGATATCTCGAAGAAATTCGGGTGAGAACTCATTATTTCCGATAAACCGTGACAGTAAATCTTCGCCCTTATTTTCTTCTTTTGCTTCCATTCTTGTACGAATAATATCATTAGCGAATTCATGAACTATTTGAATTGAATTCCGCAGTACCCGTTCTGATCCTATGTTTAATAACTTCTGGATTTTCCATATGAATGGAAACACAGACCGGAATCTCTCAGCACTAAGCGTGGCCGCATCTTCAAAAGCGCGCATAAACTCCGAACGACCCGTTCCATCTCCCTCAAGACAACCAGGATCTACATTAAAAGCTACTTTACATATGTTGTCAAACGCAAACCGTTCTAGAATATCTTGTAAATCCAACACTTGTTCTGATTTTGAGGCTTTGCTTAAAGTCGGAACTAATCTTGACAAAATCTCGGACCCAACATTCTCCATAACGAAATTTCGGAGCGATTTTGTGTTGAACTCATAGCTTGCAGTTTTCCTCTGGACTTTCCACAACTCCCCGTCGGAGTTAAAGATTCCTCGGCCGAGAAAATCTTCAAGAAGGAAGATGAACTTATCGCCTTTCGGGTAGTTCTCAAAGTTGGTCTTGAGAATATGTTCGACGTTTAACGGATTCGCTGTGATGATGCCACGAACTTTCGGAGGACGGTATAAGAAAGCAGTGTTTGTGGGACAACTTTGAAGTGTTTCGGTTGACCACTCAAGAAATCGACGCCGGTTTTTGATGAAATCCGGCAAGATTCCTACAATAGGGTAGTGTTTGAAGCCTTTGTTTAGGGTTCTTTTATTTGAAATGGAGAAGTAAAGGCGGAAGGAGAGAAAAATGAAGGAGAAGAAGAGGAAAGTTTGGAGAGTGAAGAGTTCCATGGCTAGAACAAAGCAGAGTTTTTTTTTTTTGCTTTTTCTTTTTGTCTTCCTATAAAAGTATAAAACGATAAGATATTCTATGGCCAAAGGTGCGACAGAACTTGCCGTTAATCCATTGGAAACAGTCCTATCAAATATATGAGTTGAGATAAATAAAAATATATATCTAAATCCTGAGAGACAGAATCTTACCAACTCCAATATTTATATTAATATAAATATTTTAATTGTATATATAGGAAGCGTTTAAATGGGTTTTCGAAATTAGTGTAATTTTTTTGTTAAGATTTTGAAAGAGGCTTCTCCAAATTGATAACAACCATTTTTGTGTTATATAAGTAATTAATTTTTAATGATTTGGTTGGTAATTAGACCCGCAAACCCAAAGATTCCGCAAACCCAAAGATTATCGGACTCGGACTCTAAAGTGATAACCTCAAGGTATGGAGTTGTTTGTATTAGTGGTTTGGAATAGAAGGATTGGACCCGTGAATCGGGACGCATAAATCATGATGGGTCTAAGAGGGATAAGATTTTGTTTTGGATATTATCTTTAACCATTCTCTAAGTTTTTAGAAAGCATATATATATATATATATATATATATAAGAGTAATACTATGTTTATAATTAGTTATACAATTGAGTTATATAAAAAAAATAAAAAAATAATAGAATAGTTATTAACATAAATTTAAATAATTTTTATTTGTTTGTATGACTTAATTATAAATAAACTTATTGTATTTGTAACTATGCAAATGGTGTATACTTCAAACAAGTCAATTATTCAATCTTCTTTTCCATTAGAAAATTAATTATTTGCGAATAAGATGTAATTCTTGTTAAAGTATATAGAAAAAATGGCCAGCTAAAGAACGTTTATTCAAGAAGAAATAATTACTTCCAGACCCTATTTTAAGAGTTAAAAAAAATATCTCTAATTGTCTATAAGTAATATTTTGTCTAATTCTCTTTATAGTAATATTTTTATGCAAATTTTGGATGATTTTACCTCTCCTTCAATTCACTTTTTTCTTTCTTGCTTTTCTTCTTTTCTCTTTTTTGTCTCCTTAATGCTTTAGATTATGTTTTTCAAATTGTTTGTATATGTTTAGAGGTGTATATATTCATAGTGTTTAATAAGTGAAATATAGCATATTTAGGGGGAAAAGCTGAAAAAGCTCATTTTCAAAACTTTTGAATAAAAAATATTGATTACAAAAAAAAAAAAAAAAAAAAAAAAAAAAAAAAAAATTATTGCAGAAACTTGAGTCGTCAAGTCTAGTCACTCAAATGAGGTAGGCATTAACCTTGCAAAGTGGACCTTTTTGATATTTTATTATGACACATTGTATTTACATATAATCTTTATAGTCTATATTTAAATATCCGTAGAGTCATATAAATATTAAAAAGATTTACTCGAGCAAGTTAACATATCATTATACCCCCACTCAAGCGACTAAGTTTATTCACATTGCTCGAGTCTTTTCATCAATTTTTGAGAAAATAAATTTTCAATCCAATTTGAATTAACACGATTCTTTATATATATAATATTATATATTTATATTAATATAATATTTTTTTTTTTTTTCGACATCCTATATATTTAACAAAACTTCAAAAAATTAACCAAAAAACCATGATATTCTAATTTCAATCCTAAATAAAAGTTTTTCCATTTTAATAGAAGCAATATATTCATATAATTAAGTACGACTCACAAGTGTAAAAGGGTCAAAAAATCTTATGAGAGGTTTGATTACAATGTATTTAGAGTAAGTTATTTTAATTTAGCTTTCTAAAAACTAAAAAGGGTCAACTAAATAAATTTCCCGTTAAAGAAAGACCTTTAGTTCTCTTTTTGTCTTTTTGATGGTCTAATGTTGGTAGCATTGAATTTCCCAAAATCAAATGACGAATAACAATTAGGAAGATCCAGAATTGATTACTGATGATATACCACACAATCTACTGAATCACCATTTCCATTATAGTGGGCGAGTTTATTTGTTTAAGGGAGGGTCAAAACCTAAAATAATTTTTAATTAGAATTTATTATGATATCATATACCCAGTGAGTTTCCTTTACATGATAGTACTGCAAATCATTTGATCCAATTTATTTAATAATAAAGCTTAACTATGTTAATTATTTGTAACCATATTATTTCAATGTTAACACATTTTTAACTTCTATATATTCTCTGTTTTAACATTAACACTCCTTTATATAATAATCAAAATAGTCTAATCCAAGCATTTTCACCATTTTATTAAATTTTTTTTGGAAGACAACTATATTTTAATTCCTTTTTTTTTTTTTTTTTTTGTTATCTTGTGAAAAGTGTACAAATAAAAGAGTTCCTATTAATTTCGCATGATCAGCATATTAATATTTGAAAATCATCATCAACGAAGCAGAAATTATTTATATACCAACATTAATTACTGAAAGAATTAATACATATTTGTCAGAAGCGATATTTATATATCAGTATGCAATTAATTTTAGTTAAAATTAGTTGAAAGGGCATTCATATATAATTTTAGTTTATCATAAGAATGGTTTCATAATCATGCCCACTAATGAATTGATAACCAATGTAAAATAATAAATAAATCAAAAAGAAAAAAGAAAAATAACATGTGATGAAAGATAGCATTAGTGGATGTAATCAATTAAAATTTGATTATGCAATGCCCCCTTAATTTTTAATTAATTATGTTTTGGCTATTGATCAACATCAATGTAGAAATTGACAAGAGGTAACCAGCCAGCACGTTTGGTAGATCATTTGGTGGGTGAACAAAGCCTCAGCCTCCACGTACGAAATCAATATAACTAAAATAAAGACACCCCTCCTGTTCCCGTTCCGAGTCTGAGTAATGACGTTACCCGATGAAATTACAAATATACCCTCTATTATTTATTGAGAAATTATAAATACACCCCAAATATCCATCGGTTCCACCCTGGATACTAAGCCAGGTCTTGGGTCCAATTCCTAAAGTGGTAGAACCGAACCCAAACCCAAACCCACATAGTGTCGGTTCCACCGAATTTGGAACTAAAATCGATCTTGTGAGGGTCAGTTCTAGGTAGGAACCAGAACCGATACTTTGGATACATATCGATTCCGGAACCGACATCTGGGCATGAATGTGTTATCAGAGGAGCTTCCGGAAGAACTTGGATTGCTTAGTGAGCTAGTTGTAATGTAAGTTTAAACTTTACAACTTGTTTTTGCTTGTTTTGAATTGATTGTTCTTCTGTGATGTTATTTATTTATGCTTTTACTTTTGGTAGTGGAATTGGAACGAACAATTTCTCTGGTCCTCTGCCACCTGAGCTTGGAAATTTAACCAAATTAGAGAAACTGTAAGTTCTTATAGACTTTCAGTTTCATTTTCAATGCAAAATTGGAGAAAAGTTGCTACATAGTGATGGAATTATTGAAAATTCTTTACCTTGACAGATATATTGACAGTTCTGGAGTGAGTGGTGAAATTCCTTCAAGCTTTGCCAATATACAAAGCCTGGCTATAGTGTAAGAACTTTTCGACTATATTAATCTACTGATCGAAAACGAAAAGCATCAGGTCTTAAACAAGTTCTTTTGTTGTTCTCAGGTGGGCTTCAGACACTGAACATACAGGAAAAATCCAGACTTTATAGGAACTAATTGGTCAAAGCTTAATGTCTTGTGAGAAAACTCTTATTTTTTCTTTTCATTTATTTCTTTCTCCATTACACTTAAATCTGCAGTCTTCTCTGAATGTTGCACAGTTTAGCTCATAATTTTCTGGTTCTACACATTATTGCAGGAGGTTACAAGGAAACTCTTTTGAAGGGCCAATACCATCATCCTTTTCTGATCTGACTTCCCTGACAGAGTTGTGAGTGTTCCCCTGTCATGTTTGAATTTTACACTAATCAATGCTGAAAATCTCATAAAAATTGAAAATGCAGGAGAAAAGCGATTTGCCCAATGGGAGGTCGTCGTCCTTGGCATTCTTAAGGGATATGAATTCTTTAAGTACCTTGTAAGGCAACACTTTGGAATTTCTAATAGCATTTGCTGAATTTCTTCATCTTATTTCATTAATCTTGAATATTGTTCGTCCATGTACTGCAGAGAGCTAAGGAATAACAACATTTCTGATACAATTCCATCCAATATGGGCAACTTCTAGAGTCTGCAGCGTTTGTAAGTTTATTCCTTTTCTTTCCCTCCATTGTTAAATTGCTAGCTAGCTTCTTGATCTTATAATTGGATAATTCAATAAGTTTTCTTTAGGGATCTGAGTTTCAACAATAGAAGTGGACAAATTCCCAGCTCGCTTTTCAATTTGAGTTCGCTGACTCACCTGTAATCTACCATCTCTGCTTTGTTGTATCAAACAATCATTTGTCTCCCAAAATGTACCCATATTGAAACATTTATTTCTGGATTTGTACTCAGGTTTCTGGATTTGTCTTCTCAATGTGTAAGTACTTTTGAGATATTTGCATCAATCGTTTTGCAACATACCAGAATGGAATGTTCTACTGGTTAATATGTCAGCAATTTTAATAGTAACATGACAAGTTTTGATGGGAAATCTAGTTTGCTGTAAAAGTCTCTTGAACAGAGAACTTACAGTAAAAAATCAATGTGACTAGTACAATGCCTGAATTTCATACTTATAAGCAGTTGTATTGTGTAGCTAACCTTCTCCTCTGGCTTATGCTTTCAGAGATGCATTATATAATAATTTGTTACGCCTGGAAAAGTAGGGCTGACGCAAAGGCTTGTCTGCATGGGAGGTCAGAGCTTAGGAAAGTTCTACGACTGCTCAAATGTGGCCACGTCGCGTGATGACGCGAGCGGCATGCTCCTGCTAGTGTAGTAGGTGTGCGCCAGGATGGCAAGCGGTTGGAAACAATCCACATGTCCGATCCCTGCACGAGTCGAGGAAATCATTCGGACAGGTGAGCAATGGGACGCAGAGATGGATCTGCACGACATCTACCCCACTCGCAAATTTAGTAATCATTACCTTGGTTCATCCCACTATAAATAGAGGACTTCTCTCCCATTTGTGGGATTGGCTAATTTCACTCTAGAAAAGCTTACTCTCTCTCTTGTATTCTCAAAAATAAAGCTCAGCTCGCTAATCGCGACCTGGCTTTATTCATTAATACAATATCAGTGGACGTAGGATTCGCCTTGTGAGCATCCAAACCACTTTAAACATTGTTCTTCACCCTTCAATTAACTAATCACTTCCATAATCACGTGAGACCTCTGAGCGCACTCAGCATTTCTCACATGCGAGTAGTTGGTGTCAAAATCGAGCATCAATAGTTTAGCGCTAGAAGGAGGGCTTGATTTAATACTTGTTCTTTATCAAAAGAATCTTTGACTAATCGGTCCCATTACAGCAGATGGCTCGTGGTTTCGAATCTGAGCGAACCACCTATGCCAATGAAGAAATCCCCTAGGTACAAGAGGACAATTTTCCCGAAGTGCCCCCCGCCCAGCAAAATGTAATTGGGGATATCATTTCAATCTCGCGGCTTGATCCAACCGTCATGAGTTACCTGGAGAGGTTCAACAATACTCTCCAAATGGTCAGCCAAAGACTAGACCAGTTGGATCAGGTTGTGCCACCCGAATCAAATAAGGTGGTGCAATCGCCAAAAACGCCTGCAGATCGCGTGAAAGTGTGGAAAAAGGCAAAGGCCCATATCGCACGCACTACAGCGCGTCAAAGAAAGGGAAAGCAAGTGGCATACGACAGACCCAGAGACTCCAAGGGACCGGCGAACACTGATCGCGCCCTAGGTAGAATACCGGTGGCATTGTGACTCGTTGACATGTCGCGGCCCGAGCCATCTCGTGCCACGTCGCATGAGCACTCCCACAAAAGTGCAAGGTGGGGAGATTCCCATAATCACCAAAATGATGACCTTGACCGTTGTCGTGCGGGAGATTCCCACCGTCTGCTGGTCGGTTTGTACCACCGCGGAGGTTAGGAAAGTTCCCCAAACCATTCAATGCCATCACGTGGCTCTAGCCAACGCGTGTCAAGATTGGCCGGAACTGTCGGCCAAGGCGAGGAGGAATCTGACCTACAATCTTTTCTCAACCGCAACTGCAAGGGTTAAACCCACATTGCGGAAATTGATCCCCAGATAGCTCCGCTGCCTCAGATTAAGGAGTTACAGCGAGCTCTGGATCAACTAAAGGCTCAGCGAAATGAGCAAGTGTAGGTCGCAGAGGCGTCTCCCTTTTCTCCAGTGGTATTAGCCGCTCTTCTCCCGTCAAGATTCAGAATGCCCGACATGTAACCATTCGATGGAAATTCTTATCCATAGGATCATCTGTACGAGTTCAACGACCTTATGGAACTCCACCAAGTCTCTGACTTGGCAAAATGCCATTGCTTGGCAGTGGCTCTTACCTCTCATGCCAAGCGATGGTTCAGGTCGCTCTCTGCAAGATCAGTCAGCTCGTGGCCTCAGATGAGCTCGACATTCCTGAGGCATTTTCAAGCAAACAGGAAGCTCTCGATGCCCCTAAGCTACCTGAGCAACATTAGGCAAGAGAGGGATGAGCCCCTCCAATCTTATATTGACAGGTTCTACAGGGAGCTCTATAAAGTAGCTCACACCCCCGAAGAGTCTGTTCGGACTCTCATTATCGTGGGAGTTCACCCACAGACGGACTTGTGGAAGGAGCTACAATCTGAGAACGATGTTTCCCTCATCCGCTTCTACAACCTTACGAAAAAGTACCTCCGCATTAAAAACTTTGTGGCGGCGCTCAACCGCCATAACCCCGGTCCTTTAGGCAGTGCCCCCGATCGGGGGGAGAATAGGAGGGTTGATTGTAGATGGGCTAATGACGATCAGCAAAAAGGAAAGAAATCCTACACCCCAAATCCTCGTCGCGATCGCGACAAGAGTCAATACACCCCCGTGAATGCCTTAGTCTCAGCCATCCTCGATAATTCAGAGGAGGTAGGTCCGCTCAGAGAGCCCGAGCCCATGAAAAATCCCTCTTCAGCAAGAAATAATAAAAAATACTATCACTATCACCGGAAAAATGGGTACCACACCAATGAGTGTTGAGCCCTCAAGCAAGTGATTGAGGACCTCATTAAGGCTGGGCACTTCAAAAAGTACGTTGATGACTCTGCTCCCGTTCGAGAAAAAAATCAAGAGAAACCAAGCAAGAAGCATTGTGGTCGCAAGGGTCTCTACAGCGTAGGGATCATCTTCGGGGGACTGCATCTCGTGGGGAATTCGTGAGGTGCCTATGAAAGGTACGCTCGCGCAGCTTGCCATGACCCCGTAAGTGTGATGAGCACAATGTCGCGACTAGTAAAGGTTCGCAGAGAAGAGAAAATCACTTCTCTGAGAAAGATGTAGTGCGTTTGCATCATCCTTATGATGATGCTCTCATCATCACGCCCGAAATAGGGCGATGTGAGGTTCACCAAATTCTGGTAGACAACGGAAGCGCCATGAACATCTTGTTCTAGCGAGCTTTCGAAAGAATGAAGCTGGATAAGTTCGATCTGAAGCTTGCTTGTATCCCCCTTTATGGTTTCACCGGGGATCACCTGATCCCTAGGGGAACTATCTCACTCTTGGTCACATTGCGTGACACCAACAAGGTAACCAAAATTACGGAGTTCTTAGAAGTGGACTGTCCGTCCGCTTTCAATGGCATCTTAGGACAACCTCTACTAAGAAACTTCAAAGCAGTCACCTCGATTTACCATCTAAAGATGAAGTTTCCTACCCCGATGGGGATAGGGAAAATGAGCGGATCTCAACGCGCATCTCGCGACTGCTATGTAAGGGCAGTGCAGATGGCGTGCAAAGGAAAAGGCAGTCCACTTGGCATCCCTGAACAGGCAATGGCGATCAGTCGAATCGAACTATAGCCTGGTCCAGCCGAGAATAACATGAATCCTCGTATCCAAGAATGCCTTTCCAGTGGGCCGGTTGAGGACCTATCCGAAGTGTCAATCGATCAGAGCGAGCCGAGTTGAGTGTTGAGAATTGGAAGTAATCTCAACCTCCAGCTCGCCAGCGACCTGATCAACGTCCTCAAGGAAAATATCGACGTGTTCGCA